CCCCCTTTTTTCTTTCATGGGCAATTTTTTTGCCTGCAAATGAAACCTGGTACTTCATGTGGCATTTGCATATTCTACAAAAAAATTACAGCATTTGCTAGATCACTGCTGATAGTGGCTGTGTATATCTCTAATTTGGTGGAGGCATTGAACTATCTTTTATTTTTGGGAATTATCTTTTCCTTTAGTCAATTATAATTATTAATGAGCATTTCTTTTGTTGGAGCAGCTACTGATGTGGCAGGAGAAGTGGTTGATGTTGGACCAGGAGTTAAGAATTTCAAAGCTGGTGACAAAGTTGTAACAACTCTTGGCCAACAAGTAAAATTGCCATTCCTATCCTTCTGCTTTTGTTTTTTTCTTCAGTAAGAATGACAGTTTCAGTTTATTGGATGCTTCTTCATAGAAAAGACAACCTTAGATTGAAGCAAATGACTGCTTAAGCTTTCTTAGTGAATTCTATTGATGGAATGTGATAAATTGATCATTGTTTAGATGAAACTGCCAGTGTTGCAAAAGGCTCCGCCTAGGCTCATTTGGGTGGTACTTATGCACTAGGTGGCCCTATGCCGCCCACCTTGGCCTTGGCAACAGGGTGATACTGCCCTACCCCTTTTTTTTGGTTTTTTTTTTTTTAAATTAAACTATGCTATTTTGTTTTTTAATTTTTTTAACAAATAAAGAACAAACAATGTTGGTTGGTTTTCAAAGGTCAACAAAAAGCAAAAAGCCCTAAATACCAATCATTCGGGGTTTTCTACAACTTCAATTCTTGTTCTCCCTCCTTTAATTAAATGACTTTAGTTATGTTGATTCTAGACTCCTATTAAGTATTGTTGGTTAATTGATTTCAAACTTTTAAATGATTTTTCTTTATTTTCCCCAATTTTTTTGAATTTTTTGGATTTTCTTTTAAGAAAAAAGGTGACGCACAAATTGCCAAGGCTGTCTAGGTGTCACCTAGGCTCTAGGTGGAGGCTTGCCGCCTAGAGGCGCCCAACGCCTTCAGCAACACTGGAAACTGCAAAGCCATATTCTCTTGAAGATCTGAAAAGCTAAGCTCTTTGTTACTTCTTTGTTTACCTCAACCTCTCTTCATTCCCTCTACATGACCTCTATCATTTTTAATCACTGGAGTGGTCTATGTTACGATAGCTCTATTCCTGTGTGCTATTTCTTTTAGTTTGTTCTCAATTACCATTGCTTCTGTTTTCTTATAAATAACTTCTTTACTTAGATGAATGATTGAGAAGTATAGATGGAAAAACAGGAAAGTAGATTTTCTCTAGAGGATTGATAGAAGCACAAACCATAGACCATTATAACAGAGAAAGAAGTATTTCAATGTGGAATAAATAATTGAAGAGATGTTTGTTATTTGGTTCTGTGGTAAGGTTTGGTAGATCCTGTAAGTATATGAAAGCCTTTATGGTGAAATCACCGTCACACACATCATCAGCTTGTTTTTAAAATCACACAGTATGGAGTCATTAGTTAATCATAGACTGGATTTGCAGTTGTGGCCCAAATGATCTCTCATCCCTTTAGAATGACTTAACTCTATTTTTGGCATTTTGTAAGCATTGGCATTCTAGGCATTTGGAAAGAGACAAGATTGAAGCGATAGTGATCCCTACATTGTGCTGAAATCTGTTAATAGCTGATTGTGAGGAACATTTTAGAATTGAACTTGCTTTTGCTGCCTTACCTTTTAGATATAAGGATTAACATTTTACCTTAGACAGTTTAGGCAGTCATTTTCTACTTAAGGAAAGAAACCTTGTTATTGCCCTGAGAAACTGATCCTGTGATGTTCCCCTGCCTATTCTTCTTTCATGTTCTTGGAATTTCCCAACAATATAAGGAACTTATCTTGCTTTCTTCAAAACCATTTTTAGAGGATCATCATTTCTATGCAAAGTGATTGAGATTATTAGCAACTTGGCTATGTGCAGACCTATTTGTGGCAATTGAGTTAGTTTTCCCTTCATTCTGTTTTGTTATTTGCCATAGCCACTATTTTGCAATGACAGGCTGGAGGTGGACTAGCTGAGTATGCTCTGGCTAAGGAGAGTTTGACAGTTGCAAGGCCACCAGAAGTATCCGCTGCTGATGCTGCAGGCCTACCTATTGCTGGTCTCACAGCTCATCAGGCCCTTACAGATTCTGCTGGGATTAAGCTTGATGGAAGTGGCAAGAAAGAAAACATTCTGATTACTGCTGCTGCAGGTGGTGTGGGTCACTATGCCGTTCAACTGGCAAAACTTGGAAACACACATGTAACTGCAACTTGTGGGGCTCGTAACCTTGATTTTGTCAGGAGCCTGGGTGCTGATGAGGTTCTTGACTACAAGACTCCTGATGGAGCAGCTCTGAAAAGCCCCTCTGGTGTGAAATATGACTATGTAATCCACTGCGCTACAGGCATTCCATGGTCAACCTTTGAGCCAAATCTTAGTGCTAATGGGAAGGTAATAGACCTTACTCCAAGTGGTAGTAGCCTTCTGACTTTTGTGTCAAAAATGCTTACCTTTTCTAAGAAGCGATTGGTGCCATTGTTTGTAACCTCTAAGCACCAGAACCTTGATTTTCTTGTTAATTTGGTGAAAGATGGAAAGCTTAAAACAGTGATTGATTCAAAGCATCCCCTGAGCAAGGCTGAAGATGCTTGGGCTAAGAGTATGGAAGGCCATGCTACTGGGAAGATTATCGTGGAGCCTTAGCTATATGATACAAAATTTGCATGTGTTACTACAGAATCATTTGCGGGTTTCATCGAGTGTCTGTACTGTCCATGTTGATATTACATGTTTTAGTAAGGGTCTCAATGTTTTATTTTTGTGTTTTCGGGTCTTCTTTCTTTTTTTTGGGATTGAGGTAAGGGTGTCAATGTAATAGACCGTTCTATTTGTGCAGAATAAGCATTTGATGTTGGTTTTTCCTTGCATTTACGTTTCTTAATAAAGTTGTTCTTACAAACGGCTGTCTAAGCTATGCTGCTGGTTCCAGACTTCTAGAAACATGTTCAATATTTTCCGAGTAATATGGTTTCCTAGTTCAGCAAAATAAAGCCATTTACTTCTGACACCTAGTAGTTTATGTGGTAAATGATGTGAATTTTGTTCATAAAATAATTAGACAGTTAATTGAGGGATTCATTGAGATCATTTCGATGCTCTGGGACCAAATTGATCAACATTTTTATTTCCAGGACCAAAAATAGCATCAGTACACTGTCTTCCCGTTAGTAATAACCCTGGAAAACAATGAAGCAGGCACTCTGAGCCATTGACCCAGTGCCTTCATCATGTATCATATATAAACTAGTTGAAAAAAAAAAAACACACACACACACACACCCCCGTTTGAATTACAAAATTTTCAGACAAATTTTGCATTTGTCTAATGTGTCAAGGTGTATTTAAGGTTGTTGTGAAGTACTGTAACTATATTAAACTATGTTATAGCAGTAACTGAAAATTATTTTAATGTTTGGGTATTTATTCCTTAAAAGTATTGTGAATCATATATGGTAAATCTTATTAATTGTTAATTAAAATTTTAAAAATATTGCATAATATATAATTACTAAAATAGACAACATTTATTACTTAAAATTAAAAAATATTGTAAAGCAAAATCATGTTTCAATATCATCAGTTAACAACAATTATAATTATAATTGCTAAAAGAAAGATGCCAATTTTAATTTGACGAATTGGAAGATAAAAATTTAGGGAAAAAAATATTATAATTAAACATTACAATGACCCAAAAAAACCAATAATTTTTAATTTAAATAAATCAATAAAAAAAATTTGATATTTACCTAAAAGAAGATTTGACATTGGTGCTCCTCACAATGAAAAAAGAAACCAATTCTTCTCAATATAAAAGAAATCAAGGTAAAAAAATACTATTTAAAGGAAATATAGTTAGGGCAATTACCATTAGGTTTAGGTTTTAGGTTGGGTGGGTATTCCATAGGCTAGGTTTCTTGCAAGAGAGGAATAGAGTTTGTAATTTTGTAATTGTTTAGTAAGAGTTTTAATGAGTCATTTTGTAATTGTATTAAATATTAAGTTTTATTCATAAAAACCACAGCTAGAAAGCTCCAAAATAGAGCTTTTGACTTTATATATAAAATTGTTGTGAACCTACTATGGCTTTTTACAACTTTTAGAAAAAATAGTCTGAAAAAAAATTATCATGTACATCTAAAAATATTGTGTGGTTATGAGAAAAAAACCCCAACCGCAATCCCGAACTCACCCTTAAGAGATAATTCAAATAGATTCCATGACCATCTAATTAATTAAAAGCATTCCAAATGAATGATCCATTCAAAGTTACATTTGCTAGACTAGCATTTTTGCTAATAGTTTGGACAAATA